ATTCTTCAAGCATCGAACCCTTTGCTTGAGTTTATTGTGTTCTCCGTCTTTCCCTTAGGAGTTAACTAAGTCGCAGTTACTAATTTTTGATGAGCATTAAAAAACCTTAACTAGGCGGGGGTTTAGGACACAGCAGGAGGGCCCCCCATCTCGCCCCTCCTGACTACTAACCGCCAGCGATCAATAGCTACGCCTGGGCGCGTCCTTCTACTATCGTTGTGTCGTCGTTCGCTGGCCATACGGTCTATGATACACATCAAAACATTTCACATGACTTTCTCATACCACCATTTCTCCCATTTTACCCATTCCCATCTCATCTGTCTCTACTCTTTCCAGGAAAATGCTAATTCGATCCACATTTCTATGCTTGTTACTAAATTCAGTACATGCTTTTTTGGCCTGGAACCAAGATGCTGGGCCTAGAGGAGCTATGCCTATGTTTGATGAAGGTATAACTTTTCTTTGATTTGAATTTTTAAAGAAAATTTGCAGAATTTCTTATCTTTTTCAGTTCCTCTTCGAATTGGTTCCGATTTTGACTATTTGATGTTGACGAGAATTTATCCAACCGCTGTTTGCCGTGCTGACGATGACTCAGGTGATTGAGGCATTTGCCCTTGAAGAGGATTTTTCGTGGTCCCTATGAGTCATAAATTTGTCTTTAGGATGATTTTGGGTACTGTAATACTGCAAAAAGTTTGCGAAAAATCTGGGAAAGGTCTTGTGATTGCTGACAGTTTCTATGACTTTTTTCTTAATGAGAATGCTAAAGCAATGTTTTTGAAATATTTTATAATCTTTTTAGTCCTAATTGTATTCTATCCTCTCAAAAGATACCTTGTGAGAGTTCTTATCGGTGCAGGATTCTCCGACGTTGCTAAACTCATCTAAAAATACCCTTGAACAGAAATTTTCAGAAGTGATTTTTGAAATATGATTACACTAAAACCGAATTACGGAATTTGAAAAAAAAAACCGTACCTTAGCCTGTGATTGCAAGAGCTTTTGAAGCAAGGAAGAAACAGTTTTACAAGAAAGTGCACTTTCTGCTATAGCTAACTGTTTTGGAAGTTAATGGGATTTGCTCAGTCTATTCGCTTCTACCTCTTGGTTTCTTTCCCTAAAAAATAATCGAATCTTCTGGTTGTTGACTTTTTTACCCGAGTGCTATTTTGGAAGCCTCGTTTCTTTGAGTTGATTAGGTTAGGTATAGGCTAAACAGTGACCGTTAAAGTGCAGAAGAACTGAAATTGTTTTTGTCATATGGTATTCATTAGATTCTTATTATTATCTAGGTTTCTAAATGCCCTGCAATCAATCTTCTGAGTTTTCCATTTATCAATTTTTTCTTCTTTGGAAGTCTAACTTCCTCTAGCATAACTTTACTACAGAGAGCAAATCTTATCGCTTTTTATAGCTCTTTTTCGAACGTGGGCCATATTTTACAACATAGATAAGTTTTTGACTGTTTGCTATTCACGGAGATCGAGTTCGCGGTTTTTTTTCGTAGACAATGAGTTTCTTGGATACGAACCGATTCTGTCTTCTTGTGGGATTGTATCTAAAGTCGTCCAACCAGTATTTCTTGTTTTTTTTACTCTACCAAATCTCTCATTATTTAATTTGCCTTTTTTCTGATGCCGCTCAAGTGTGCGAGACTGTGTTACGTGCTACAGTATCCTTGAGATGTTTCAGTTTCTAGCTCCTTGCGCTGGGTGATCGCTATCGATAAGCTCTTGACTTTTGAACTAACCGAACAGTTTCTTTGATAAAAGGCGTACTGTGAGCGTATCTGAGCAGTCTTCGATCAGAATTAGTGGATTGTGGTTAGAATCTGGAAGAGCGAAAAAAACAATAGAAGAGATTTTGTTAGACAAAATATTGAATCAAATATTTCGAGACTTTGAAAATAAAAAAAATCTAAAGGACATAGGAGTTAACTGCTTGGAGTAACCTTATTTTGAGTTATAATGTTTATTAGTGGTTTTTTTCGACTTCTTGTTATCAATTTCTTTTTCCCAGGAGCATATTTACTTCTGTAGGCAAAATGAGATATGCAGAAAACGACCTATGGGCTCATTATCACTTCTTCCTAGATGATAATGCTCGTTTCCAGCTGGTCCAGCAATTTTTAGGTCAAAAATTTTTGGGAATCTTTTGAACTCGGTTGATAGTATGGGTTTTCAAAAAGTTGTTTTTTGTTGTCGATATCTCCCAGAAGTAGCTACATTATTTTACAAAATTATCAGAAAGCATCTTATCCTACTAATTCTAACAAAATTTCCAGCATAGGCTGATATGGCTTTCAAGTATCTTTAATATAGCTTTCGGTATCTTTACCATTAGCATCTTATCCTAATAATTCAATATTCATATAGTTCATCTATCCATGTTATCCATGCCCTAAATGTGTTTTATTTAGTTCCAAACATCTGCGAAATCCCAGCAGAAACACCTGATTGGTCAATTCACGGCCTCTGGCCGAACTACAGCAATGGTAGTTACCCCCAATTTTGCGATGGAGTTCCCCGAAAATTTGATGGAAAATTGATCGAACCAATTGAAGGCAATTTAACGTAAGTATGAGGAGATTGTCTGAGGTTATGAGGACAAATGCAAAAACCAATAATTCTAGAAAAATGTGGCCAAATTTATATCCATCGAAAACAGCACATTCTTTCTGGAAGCATGAATGGGAAAAACATGGAACATGCGCTCAAAGTTTGAAAAATCTATCTTCAGAGTTCCTTTACTTTTTCAGGTGAGTTCGGACTGCTCGCTAATTGATTTTCCTTCTTATGAACTATTTTTAGGACAATGGATATTGATTCCCAGTTTTCTGTTGGAAACGCTTTAAGGAAAGCGGGGATTGTTCCCAGAGCTGAGCCTTATCTTCTGGAAGATATCCAAGAAGCTTTGAGAAGTGAGCTTACGTTTGGGAAAAATGTCCAAATCAATTGTTTGACGGATAAGAAGGTGAGCCTTGAGTGAACGAATGAGTGAATGATTGATTGAATATTCAAATTATTGAAGACGAGACAAACCTTGCTTGGAGATG